CGGAGGGGCGGGCCGCCGAGGCGGGGTCGCCTCTGCCCTCAGCCCGAGCCCAGCCGTTGCCTCCTTGGGGCGGCCTGAGCGCAGGGAACCCGGCCGCCGAAGGCTCTGGCTTTTCTGGGCGAGGGCTGTGAATACAAAACAGCCTTTCTCACGGCCCTGCGCCCTCCCCAGGCCCGCCGCCGGAGCCCGGAGCCCGGCGCCACGTGTGTGGCGGAGAAAGCAGCTTCCAAGTACTTAACTTTAAGGAAACTTGGATGAGTCTAACGCTAACTTTTGTCCCCTGCCTGCAGTTCTCACACGCACACACACACACACACTAGGATGAGGTGTCGGAGGCTAAGTGTCCATCCTGCCAAGGTGCAGACACTGCCCACACACCCCCTTACCTCGGAGTCCTTTATCGCGCATTCTGGGCCTCCAGCCTGTGGCTTCGTTTCTAAGTCAGGAAAGTAAGGATAACAGTCCTCCCCGACCGTAATCGCAGTATTGATCAGCGTCTGAGTCATCAGATGAACCGACTTTACTCACAGAATCCCATTGTCCCTGAAACTGGAGGAAAAATGGCCTGATTGTCAACACTTGCTCATCCGCAAAGGTCACTTTCTCCGCAGAATTGGGAATTAAATTGCCAGCCCTGGCTCTTTCAAACCAGACATCTTGAGCCGGGGTTGGGATTGTTAGGCGTCTTCGCCCATCCTTTTCGACCTTCCTGTTTCTATGTTGTGCCTTGGTCGGAAGGTCAGATCAATAAGCAGAAAGGGGAGTCATTAATCTCTCTCTTCTCTTCACGTTTCTAGTTTTTCTACCATTTCTTTAATACAGATATTCCTGGGTGTGAATTCTCTGCTTTCCAGTTTTACATCATGAACTTCTTCAAGTTAGGACCCAGGAATGTAAATATCTACAGGATGGTTATTAAAGGCACCAAGCAGATATTAAGAGGAAGGATATCGCTAAGGGTTGACTATGTTATCCATTCCCACTAATGCAGGACTGTGTGCCTTTTTACAGTTCGATGTTTGTTCTCTTTCCCTCAAGATATTAGCACCGACTGAAAAATAGTAAGATTTTCCTTGCTTCAGAAAAGTTATGATTTATTTCCAAGTCGAAGTTTTCTCAAATGAGTGCCATATTAAGTGCTGCGGTGTGCATGCGCGCTCTTGTGTGTGTCTGTGCGTGTCTGTGTGTGTGTGTGTACTTTTAGCTTGTTACTGCATCACAGAATGAGCAGGGTGTAATATTGTTTGCTTGTGATGAGTGCATGCCTTAAGAGACCACTGTGAGTAGAGAAAATTTACTTTTGGGGCCCAGGAAGCACCTTACAGGGGAGGACAGCTGTTGGGAACAGCTGCGGACCCTGGCGATGGAATTGCCCGGCCTCGGGACACTCCATGTAGCAAGAGGGATTTGTTTATTTAACAATAGTTAATGATTCTCCCAAGCAACTCCTAGGAGTCCAGCTATCAGTAAAAATACTTTCAAGAAATCTTTTATCCTTCCCAGAAGCCGCCGGGAGCCGACAGTGAAGGGAGGTCCCTGGTTGCCCACACAAGGTAACTGTCAGTGGATCCTGGCTTCAAATGCCCCCAAATTAAGTCCTGCAACTGCACTGCCTTCCTGTATGTGAAGGGCTCCCTGGGTCAGGGACCAGGTCTCGAAGCAGAAAAGTCATTTCTAGAAGGGTCCCGGTAAACTGAGGACCACGGTGGGCCCTGCATTCTTAGCTAAATTAATTGAATTCCCTCATTGGCACCATTGACCAGCACTTTTAAAACAATATGTGTACATTACTGGTGATAATGTTATTATCTGTGATAATGTTAGATGATACTTGAATGATTTTTTTATATTAATGATCAGGTCTTTTTTTTTTCCTAATACACAAAAGTAGCATACCAAATCCATAGTGTTGCAAATACAATGACTTAGGGTGAGTCTGATTTTTTAAAAGTCAATTTAAAAAGCAATCTTAGGGGCTGGGGATTTAGCTCAGTGGCAAAGCGCTTGCCTGGCAAGCGCAAGGTTTTGAGTTCGATTCCTGGTACCGGAAGAAAAGACAAAAAAAAAAAAAGAGCAATCTTAATAAGCACAAGTCACAGGATAGCAAAAAGTACAGCTCTAACTTTCATAATAAATGAAGTCAGCAGGGTACATGCAGATACCCATTTTTACTCCTTCACCTTAGTCTCTAAGAGGAACTCTAGGATGTAAAAGGAATCTGATTTGAAATCCTGTTAAAAAGGACTGGCTTTTGAGAAAGTGTTATCAGGCCAGTTGGAGCCCCTGGTCTGGAGGGCGATATGAGGGGAGCAGGGACAATCCATACTGGGTGTGGGAGATACAGGTGAGGAGGGATGGCCAGGGACAGTCCCCAAGCTACTGCCTGTGTCACAAGAGGCAGAATCCAAGGACTCACAGGCATCACTGATGAGAAATTGGGCAGAGCGACAGAAAGTCCCATCCTGGAGAGTTTTTGGAGGCTGGTTTCCCAAACAACCTGAGAGCTCAACACAAGAAACTGCTCCTGCTGCCTGTCTTACTGATGGCTCTACCTTCCACCCGGTGGTGAGTTAGGGAATGCTTCTCTCCCAAATGTAAACATTCACGTGCCGCCATTCCCACTCCAGGCAGACACCAGAAAGCCCACTCACTGCTGGGTGACAGCTGAAAAGATTCTTACATGCTTCGGGAAGCTTTTCCCCACATGTTTGTGGTTCATCCGGGTCTGCAGGGCTGGCTGCTTAGATCTCGCACCTAGGGGTAAAGAGACATCCAATGTGTAAGGGTTTGTGGGTAGCAGAGCCTACCTTAGTACGAATAAATGAAATTTACTGACATCCCAAACACCTTTTAAAATTTTTTTTATTTTAAAGAGGATAAAAGAAATTTTAAAAACATTAAACACAATACAGAATATCAAAAGAAGATGATAGGAAATCAACAATGGTTGTTATATTGCATATTGTTATCTTCAAAGTAGTTCAGATTACCAGCTATAGGCATGCAAAATGGTTCAAAAAAATTAAGCATTGACTATTCTTTTCAATAAACCAATAGAAATTAGTAGCACAATTATCTTAGCTATCTTTGTGTATGTGTGTGTGTGTGTGTGTGTGTGTGTGTGTACATATATACTCACTTTCTTCTTTCTTTCTTTTCTCTTTTCCCTTATCCCAGTTGCTAAACACTTTTTTTAGACAGGGTCTCGCCGTGTAGTTTAGGCTGGACTTATTATGTAACCCAAGCTTGGCCTCAAATTTGCTGCAGTCCTCCTGCCCCGGCCTCCCAAGTGCTGAGAATTCAGGCGTGTACCACTACACCCAGTGTTTCCAAACACCCTTTAATAGACAGTTCCAAAGTCTTGTGATACACCTCTGCCTCTGCTGCCACCACCACCTCCTCCTCATACACAATAAACGTTCTCTTTCAGAGCGGCTATTGCGTGGCTAATGTCTCTGTTAGATTTCTTCCTCCTGTCATTTCAGGGTCCTACATTTCTTGATGCTAGGAGACATACTAACAAGGAGGAGGACAGGAGAGAGCACAAAGAAATGTAAAAGGCCTTCCATGGCCTCTGACTCTAGAAGGCATGAAGATATTAGTTGAAGATCATGATTGCAATAAGGACTGAAAATGGATATAAAATAGTAGTTTAGGATGTGACTTACATGATTTTCTGTAATTTGGAAGTGCAGGAGGAAAATCAGCAGAATACCAAGCCTGGTGTGCCTGTGAAAAAGGAGTTAGAAATAAATACCAACCATTTTTCCAGTAACAAAAATCTAATAAAATTCCTTTTTCAGTGTTGTCTCCCCTCAGTTTTCAAAAAGGGCTTTGATGCTATTATCCAAAAGCCGCTGGAGGGGTAGAGCTATAGCTCAGTGGTGGACAGCTTGCGTAGCAAGCAGGAGCCCTTGGGTTTGAGCCCCGGCACTGGGGGAAGAAAGTCTGCTGTAATAACAGATAATAAGTAAAGTGGAAAGAAAACTGAGGAAGATACTTATAAAATGGGATAGGCAAAAGAGTAATCCTAATATGTAAACAGGTTTATGAAAATCAATGAGGAAAAGCTATACAGCCTGTAGAAAAACGGATACAGGAAATATACTCTATCTTTATTCTTCCTGAGTTCCACATTTGTGAATTTACCTGCCTGCTGAAATGTGTATGTAACCCCAAAGTTAACGTTCACAGCACTTTTGAGGTAATTTGCACAGAATGACAAAAACCTTAACATGCCTGCTTCCAGCTGAGGTCACACAGTGGGAACCGGACCTCCTTTGAGCTCCTATATTGTAATCAGTATCTTTCTCATTCTATTTTGAGCCACACTGTCTACATTTTGAGGGATGATTTTGCTATTTAAAATGGCCCTAAGCATAGTGTTCAAGTACTGTCTAGTGTTTCTAAGTACGAGGCTATGATTGTGCCTCACAGAGAAAAGATATGTTAAGCTCCGTTAAAGTGCTGTTAATAAATTAACAACTTATTAACAAAGTGTCTTGAAACAGAAACATTCATAAAAACACTTTCTGTGTTGATCACTTGCCAGAAACTTTGTGACCGTGGGTCAGTATGGTAAATTCAGTGTTCACAGCAACTTCGCAAAACATTAGTCTAAACAATGAGAGTCAACTCTAATGGGGTAAAAATGTACAAATTAATAAGCATAAGAGAAGGCGCTCAATATTACCAATAATCAAAGAAAATGAAATCAGAGACTTGACATAGTGTCATCTATCAAAGTGAAAAACGTAAAGGTTTTTTTTAAAGCAAGTGTTAAGAAAGCAAGTATTCTTGGCATTCAGGATACTGAGGCGTAAGGATCACTGTGAATTCAAGGCCAGCCTGGGCTACATAGTGAGTTCAAAGCCAGCCGGTCTCAAAAACAAACAAACAAACAAAACAAAAAAAGAAACAAAAGAAAAGCACTGTCTTGTATTGTTGGGTCATGAGGCTCAATCTCTGGAGGCATTTAGCCATATGTAAGTTAAGCATATCTTGTGACCCAAGAATTCCACTTCCAGGAACGTACTCCAGAGAGATGAATTCACAAGTGCAAAACTTTATTTTCAAATTGTCACCATCATAACATTGTTTATAATAAATGATGAATTTGAAAAGCCTAAGTGCCTGGTGATGAGGGATATTTTAAAATTCTGATATATACAGTTAGTGGAATCTGAGGTATCCATTAAATATGACATCAGATAACTTTGCTAACAATAAAAGATATCCATGAAAATACTGAGTGGTAAGAAGCAGATTTGAGAGGACAATGTTCAACATGACCTCATCAACATATGGTATACATAAAAGTACATGTGTCTTTATGTACACACGAGTCAAGAAATATTTGTGAAGAAATTCTCTAAAGTGTAAATTGTGATTTGTCTTTGGGAGCGAGGGGAAAGATTTCAGATGATTTTTACTTCTGCTTCTATTTCTGTCCTGTATGTTACTGGACAGTTTACAATCACGGAGAAGCTGTCTTGGTTCTAACTGCCACTATTATGCATGTCATTATTGCCATGAATGTGACCAAGGAAAAGCTGGTGACAGTGACAGACGTGCAGCATCCTCTTGGTTGCCTTTGTGTCCCACCACCTCATCAAAAGTTACACACATAAGAAGCCCTCGAAAACAAATGTGTGATGAGGGCGTTCTTAAAAGCCCTACCCTTTTTAGTTTGCTTTTTAAGAAAAATATGTGGTATGCAATCACTTAAGCTCTCGGTGTATAGAAGATCACTGAGAAATGTTGGACTTACCACTTTGTGCTTGACATCAAGTGGATTTTTCAAGGTCTGGGTTATATCAGGGAATCGGCCTGCATTTAAATGAAGAGGGAAAAGGAGGATTAAATCCACTCTAAAATTTCTTATGCTTCCAATGAGGCTATTATCAACAAAGTGTACACACATCATTTGTTTCCCTGTAGTGTCTGACCAACTGAAAAATAAGAGCCAACAGGTAAGACAAAAAACTATGACTGAAAATTAATTTGTGTGGAGCTTCAGGAGAGGTAAACACTTTTACATCTGGAATACTCTTCTGTGATACATGGCTTATACTCTTCCAATCAGAAGAAATTGTGGCTATGCTGAAATACCAAGGCTGTAAATTTTCTTTAAGGTTCCAAGAAGTTCAGGGGTATTCTTTTAACCTGACTGAGGTATAACTTACCCACAAATTAACCCACATTAAGTGTACAGTTTAATGATTTTCTGTAAATTTACCAAGTTATGCAACCACCACCACCATCATCCAGTTTGAGAGCATTTTCATCACCCCAGTGAAATACCTCCAGCCCACTTACAGTTAACCCCCTTTTCTACCACTGTTCCCAGAAGATGACTAACCTCTCTGTGGATCTGCTTTCATTAGCTATTTCATATAAATGGAATCATACATTATGTGGTCTTTCATGTCTGGCTTCTTGTATTTAGCATAATATTTTTCAGGTTCAGCTATTTTGCAGCTGCTTGAATATTTTGCTCTTATTTTATCGCTGACTAGTATTGTATTGTATGAGTATACCAGATTTGTTATCCACTCATCAGGTCAAAGAGAGATCAAGGTTGTCTCTAATTTGGGCTACTGTGGATAGTGCTGTGGCCTACACTTACTTGCAGGTCTTTATGAGTATCTTTTCCTTCCTCTTGGATACATTCCTACATGTAGACTTGCAGGATCCTGTGGTTGACTTATGTTTGACTTTCAAAGAAACTACAAAAGTGTCTTCCAATGTAACTTTACTATTTCATATCCCCACCAGCACTAAATGTTCCAGTTTCCTTATACCCTCACCAACATTTAGTATCTGTCCTTATGATTATAGATATTCTAATAAATGGGAATTATGATCACATTGTGTTTTTAATTTATATTTCCCTAGTGACTGATCATGTTTGGTTTTCTGGTATTTTTATTGAAAATAACCCAATAAATTCTGGGCCTTGCTTGGCATAGGCATAGTACGATAGGGTCTGATCATTAAGAGTGAATGGGGAGAAGAATAGACTTTGGCAAATACTCCTTGTTGTTTGTGCTTTTATGCTGATAATTTTTTTATCAGCCAGAGTCAAAGAGCTTGACAAGTATTTAGTTGAATTCCTATACTAAAATAAGTGTATTCTGCAAAAGCAGCTAATTTTTTCATCCTCTGTGAATTCTTTAGCGTTTCTGAGGTCTGTAAGACTTTTATAAACCCCATGAGCCTACCAGAGGTTTTGCAATCTTTATGTCACCTTTCCTTTCCAGAATTATACTAGATAATCATTCATTAATGAATATACGGTTATATGACATTAATGTCCTATAGAAAGTTATTTTGAGGCATCTGATGTACTATGAAAAACAAAAACCAGACATGAGAATTTGTGCTAGACTGTTGCATAAAGTATTTACATTATTTGTTTCCATCTTTTAGCCAAACTTGGTCTGACTTAGGAATGTGTCTCACTTTCTTCAGTCTTTATACAGTGGGCCAGCAGACAACTCACATATGTTAGCATATAGTTAGTTAATGATTTTTCTTTATGATTTTTACAGTTGAGAAAATACAGCCCACAGTGCAGTTTGACCTTGGAAGTTTCATCCACCTTTTGATTGAGGATGCTTAAAATGACCCTAATCTACCAATGTATGTCCCTCTCTTGCTTCTACTTCTTAGCCCCAGCACTGCAACCAACTTGGGCAACTTTGTTGATGAAACTATCCATTTGGATAATTGCCAACAAATTTTACCATTAAATATTTGGTCCTTAAATGTTGTGCTTACCTTAATGGAATATTACGAGATTTACTTTTTAAAAGTAAATTATTAAGAAGTCAAGTGTAGGCTGGCTAGCTCCTACAGGATCAGCTCACGTGTGGCAGGACCGTTCTAGGTCTTCAATTCTAATCATTTAGCCCACCTAGTGGATGTCTGTCATAAAATAACCATCGGCCTTCTTTGTAATGCAGTTTTCTTCTAATAGATTGGAGCTAATTCAGCCTCCCAGCTTCCCATCTCTCAGTTACTTGAAATGTTGACTCCCTTGAAATGAAGGTTCATGAATATAAAACATAATGTTGAAAAATGAAGACAAACCAGTCTCCATCTTTTTAAAAATTACATGTATACAAGGAAGGAGGATGTAGATTAAACATTAACAGCTCTTAACCTGAAGCTCTGAGATGCCTGCATTGCCGGCTTGGAGAAGTTTCTTTATGGATATTTTGAAAAGAAAGCCCAGAACTTTCATCGAATTTTTCAAAGTATCTCAAAAATATAAGGTATCACTGTCTTACAAAGAGACTTGTTAACCACTGGGATAGGTTACAGAGCAAATCTCTTTCCTGACAAATTTTTAACAATAAGGGATACAATAATATGTATATGAAATAAAAATTATCCTTCAGTTTTTTATTGTACTCATTTCTTGAGGATCATAATACTATTACAGTTATGTGAGAAAACATTCTTACGGAGGGGAGACACGTGCTGAAATATTTCAATAACCCAGCCAAGAAGCACACACAGGTATCAGTATTTAGAAACTATGATAAAGTGAATTGTTAATAAAAGTAGCAAAACCCTGATGAATCTAGAAGAACATAGGTGGCATTGACTGCAATATTCTTGCACCTTTTCTATGGATTCAACTATTTGTTTTATGTTATAAATGAAAGAATAAGGTATTCATTGATGTGCCTTAGCTTCACCATTATAAAAACCAGGTTCTAAAAAAATTAGGAAAACCAAGCAGCCGCATCCCAAATTACATGTGAGCTATAATCAAAGACAGACCTAAAATCAGTGCTGCACCCTCTCCCTATTTTCTCCCCATAGGACTCCAGGCCCTGTCACAGGCGGACACCTGGTGCGTTCATGGCACCCACCAAATCACCACAGTGCCCACTACAGAGCTATCTTTTAAGTTCACAGGAGAGTCAATTGCAGCCACCTCCTAGTGGATGTTATGCTTGAACAGGAAAGCGCACGCAGTAACAGATGGCATCTTGTGACCTTCTTAATAACAGGCTTGGCTGCCAGTGTTCCCTTGTGTCCGGGCTCTGCAGGGAATTTGGAAACTGTTGCCTTACACTTGAATATTTTCTGGCAAACACATTTAACCATTTATTAGCCAGATTCCTAATGTAAAGTAGAGAAAGCAGCACTATGTAAAACAAAATCCCCACCACCTAGAAGGGACACCAGTATTTCCCGAGTAGGACACCCATCCTGGGACGCCTTTGGCGTATGGTGTAACTGTCCCTTGTAGTGTGGTATGAAGACCTCAATTCCAGGCAAAGTAGGTGTCATGCTGCCTAGATTTATTGATGGTCAATAGGCTCTTTTTCCTTTTCTGTAATTTAAAAGAAATATATGCACTTCTCCCAGCAAAGCACACAAATGAGACAGAAAGCAAACAAAATCCTGGTGTTAAAAGTTCCTTCTGCTGTGCCAGTTCACACCCAGTGTGAAAGCGGGGATCCCACGATGAGCGAAGCTGGTACTAAGTCTACGTGTCCCTTGCTTCGCATACCCTGGGTAGCAGTGGCTTCCAGGATCCACAGTGGGATGTAGGAGGGTGAGGGTGGTGACAGGGTTGGGGGGTGCTGTCCCCTGGCCTCCCTGCCCCCCGCAACCCCACAGGGACAGCCTTTCTTTGTGGGCAATGGAAGGCAGTGAGGAAAGACAACGAAGACACTCGTGCCAAAGCCTTCTGTCACCTCTTTGCTACTCACCAGGATAGACCTGTAGGGTCTTGCACCAGAAGGGAAGTGGTAAAATCTGTCCTTGCCACATAGTTGATGTGAAGAACGTGATGGAGGAAAGGTAAGGAGAACATTCCCAGCGTCCACACAGGGGGAGGCCACACTGGGCACCTTAGGAGAAGCGGCTCAGTTGACAGGTGCAGTGCTGTGTGGGGTCACACAAAGGAGTGAGCACGAGGTCTTTCTAGAGGAGTGGGCGGGTGGGCTTCATCCTTCATCCTGTCTCGCTGTAGAGCTGATGGGGAGGCGAGAGTCTTCCAGTTGGCTCCACTTCAGGACTACAGAGCACAGGGGGCCTTGGAGACACCCCATGCCTGGGAAAGCTGAGTACAGGGCGGCCCTGACTGGAGAGCTGTGAGTCTCTCCCAGGAAAGTTGGGCACAGGGCACCTGGTTTGCTGCCATTTGTTCCCTGTGATCCATCCCAGGAGCAGTTTATAGTCCCCGCCTCATGCAGACTAGCGCCCCTGTGTAGAAAGCACACTTTCCCTAACCCATGTGCCTCCGCCTCCATTCTTGGCCCATAGCCTGGAAGAGTAATAAACTTTGGAAATAATCCAAAAATAGCACAAGGTAGCAGCGCCAAGACACAACCAAAGCAAAACGGTGAAGCTTGGAAGCCATGACACCCACCTTGGTAAGAAATGGAAAGTCTGTCCTTTGCCTTGGCCCCCAGTCACCCTCAGAGGCATGCGCCTGTTCTTTTCCTCTTTCTCCCTCACTCGAATGCACCTTTGCAAAGCTTTTTAACGCGCACCTGTGTTTCAGGTCTGGGGTGCGCCTGGCTGATCTTTGTAAGCCCATCACAGAACCCGGGTGCGGGCAGCGGGTAGGTATAACGAAAAGCATGTGCACGTGCTGCCGTGGCAGAGCTGTCTGTCCATCCATTTTTAGAATATTGCACTCTATAGAACTCTATATAAACTACCATTCAAAACACAAGTCTGTGGAAAGACTGTTTCTATAAATTACTTTCTGATTTTAACAAGTAATTTTTAAATTGTCTTTTGGAAAAAGAATTATAGTAAGGGACTGGCTCTATACGAATGTATGTCATGGAAAGGAAAATGCCAAGAATGGAAGGAGTATACAGACCATTGATTGGCAATGATGAGGCATCTGATTTGTGTTGAGCCCTGTCCCAGGTTCTGGAAATAGAACAAGTTCTTGTCTTCATGAAGCTTATGTTCTGGAAGGATACTTAGGTATTAAACAAGTAAACAAACACAATAATACAGAGTAAGCAAAGCAGAGAAACTGGGAAGGAGAGAGTGTGAAGGACATCACTTTAAGCATGGCATTGAGGGAAGCCTTCTTTGAGAACATGAAATTTAAATCCAGACTTGAGCATTATAGCTTAGCAGAGAAATAAGAACAGCATATGTCAGGGTCCTGAGGTAGAAAATGCTTGGCATTTGTAAATTACTAAATGAATTTATATATACAGAACAGAGTGAGCAAAACTCAGAAGAGACATGAAATGAGACAGGAAAGACAGGCAGAATCCCGTTCATGCAAGGCTTTGCAGGATTTGGTATGGAGGTAGGACTTTATTCCAGGTGCAAGGGGAGGCAGAAGTGGCATCCTGTTTATCCATTAAGATCTCCCTGTGGGGGGAAGGACAGGGTTGGCAAGACATGCCTCATGAGTACTTACTGCTTTTTGAATCTTTCTAGGTTTCTTTGAAGGCTTTCCCAAAGAATATAAGCAGTATTAAAGGAGTGGGAGAAAAATGAGTATGTTTAAAAATGGACATAAATACTCTTGAAATTACATTGCAAATCATATGCATATATTATTTGATTCTTGTCAATATTCTCCTAGACACATCATCATCCACATAAAAGGATGATGCATGATCCAGACAGCTGCTTCAGACACTTGGAACTTGTCTGTGGTTAGGAAATATCCAAGGACATCTTACACACTGTCATGTCTGGGCTTAGAGGTGTGCCTACCGTACAAAACCCCTCCCGGTCATATCGCATCTTGGGAAATAGCAAGAACAAAAGAGACTAGTTTACTCTCTGGCAAGGATGCTGTGAGCCCATCCCAGAGCTGTACAGGTGTGAGACACGGGCATAGGGCTGAGGACAAAGGAAAGGGAGGGACAGTCCATGAATGCTGGCCTGCAAAATCAGTGTGCATTCTGCCATGCTCTTGAGACAGTTTCTTTGGACAGAAGCTTAGTCATTAAACAAAACTTGGTAGAATCTGTTTAGCAAAGAGTAAACAAACAGAAAGTTGAATTGGCTATTTTTTGTCATATTGAAATTTTATGATGCCTGGTCTTCTTTGTTCTTTGAATATGAGAGATCAGCAAGTGATGGGCCACAAGCTTCATCCCGGGAGCCAGGTCACAAAAGCCACAAGCAAATCAAACACTTGGAAAGAAACTTAATATTAGCAAAAAGGAAAACCACCTAATGTAGGCAGAACAAATATGACTGAACTCTTTGAAAGGCAGCTGTGAAAAAGAATGTGAGAACTTTCTTCCTTAAATGTGATCATAAATCACATTTAAGAAAGAACAGTCTATCCGATCTACCTACTCATGGATGGATGTCACAAAGTGGCAATCAGTAGGCCGATGTCCACTAGTGGAGAACAAACTTATATAGCTGGTGTGCACTGACAGTGTGATCCTAGATTTCATGTTTTAATTCCCTTCCTTGGGGAATTCTAGCCCAGTTGAGGTACAATGCAGAAAATGAAAGAAAGCACAGAAAAAAGTTATCATGTGACCAAATTAAATTTTGCTGTGAGGTACTGCCAATCAACCACTCAATGAAGAAAATAGACATCAGTTATCTTAAAATGATACTCGAAGAGAATGAAGAAGGTAGTATGGGCAGATTAATAAATCATCATTATGAATATATACACTTATGCCATTTTACCTGACAGTAAAAATAAGAGAGGAGACGGGAAGCAAAATATGACCTACTGCGTAGCAATAAATTATTGCATTTTTTTCCTCACATTATCACTGTTCAAAGATAATTGTTTCTCTAACTGTGGAACTGCACAGTAGCTCATGTAAACTGTGGGTGGTGACTGGGGTAAAGCAGTATTCTGAAGAACACAAACAGCAACAAAAATGGAATGGGGTTACACTGTAAGCTACCTAGGTCAGATGCATGTCACCTGGCCTTTCGATGAATGAGGTAACCAGGCTGATTTCCCATACACTGGCTCAGACATGTCTCTGAACAATATGTAGTATCTTTCAATTTTCTGTTCTTCACTGCAAAGGGAGAAAGTGTTTCCTGATTTTCACAATAGCACAAACTGTTACCTGTTCTGTCCTCTTGCATCAATAAATGATAAAGGAAGTCTTAAAACTTATCTAGAATATACTATTCCTATAAAGTCAGATTTTATTAGGAAAACCAGCTAAACAGCCATTGTTGAGCGCAAATGTGAAAAACTTTATCTTATTCATTTAGGAAATGCTCATATGGCTGCAGGATAAATTTCTATCATCTTCTTCCCACACATAAACACACATGAACAGATTAAAACTTTAAATACTATAGCAAATGGGCAAGCATCACCAGACTATTTCATAAAGTGCTTTAAATTTCAATTATTAATCTTGCTAAAGCTCCAGAGCTTTGACACAATGGTAGAAATTATATGGGAAGACCTACTGTGTTGCCTCCTCAAAATCAGAGTTTGCCTCAAAATGGGTAGCTCTGTCCTTCTGTAGTGCACAGCTGTGGCTAGGATGTGGCTGCCGGCCACAGACTCCACTTCTGAGCTCTCTGGCATCACACTGGAACTCGAGCAGAGGGGGGCGTGTCATCTTCTGGCTGAAGGGGTGCAGGATAACGTGTGCTCCCCTATCCTTCTTTCCCCTGTTGCCAGACAAAGGATCCTAAGGCCCCAGGGGACAATGTTCGACCAAGTCTGCGTCCTTAATCAGAACACATGGAAGGTCTGTATGAAGAGCAGTCACTTTGGCCTGTACATGAAATCTTTTCTTCTTTTATTGTGTTAGTGTTTTATCTATTATAGTGGTTAGTGTTAACCTAATAACTAAAAAACAGCTACAGGTGGCTATGATTAGTCAATATAATTTACTGTTGATTAGTCCTAACATTGGTTTCTCTTCTTAGTTTTTGACATCTGAGAACAACTCAGATGTCTATAGCTAGATACTGTACTTGATATCTGAGTTCCAAGTTCTGGTGGAAGTTCCATTCTGGGACTAATTTAGAGGAGGAAAATTTTTGCCCAGGGGTAAGTGTCATTTTTTAAAGCAGCATATTTAGCGTAGAACATGGTCATTTTTTGCTAGAGGCAATCTAGCCTTTGGTAGGCAAATATAAACCAGAAGAACTACCATCAGGAACCTAAAAGCAGAGGAGAATGATGTCGCGAATATGGTGAAATAGGAGCTATCTACCATAATTTCCCTACAAAATCAGTGATTTCAATAATCACAGAGGAGAGTTCATGCATCCACGGGAGAAGTTCTAGGACATTACTGCAGTTAAAAATTCAAGAACAGATGCATGGTAGAGGGTAGGAAGATAAAGTTTCACTTCACCCATATTATTCCTTCTCTAAGGTGGCTCAGTACAACACCAAGAGCCGTCTCCTCCGCCCGTGATTTCTCCCAAGGTGCAAGTATAGTGAATGAGCACCTGGCTCCTCCAGCTGTGCCAGATGCTCTGTAGGAGTCCCGCTTCTCGCTTACTGCCATGTTTGTTTACTGCAGCATTACTCACAATATCTAAGATATGAAAATAACCTAAGTGTCCAACAACAGAGGAATGGATAAAAAGCAGGTGGAATATCCATCAAATGGAATATAATTCAGCCTTTACAAAGAAGAATATTCTGCCATTTGTGGCAACATGGATGAACCTGAAGGATATTAAGTGAAACAAGTCAGGAACAGAAAGACAAATACTGTACTGCATGATTTCACTTGTATATGGAATCTAAAAAAGTCAAACTCATGCAAATGTGGATTGGAAATTCTGGTTGCCAGGAGCTGTAGAGTGAGGAAAATAGGGCAATTTTGGTCAAAGGGTGCAAACTCTAAATTATAAGATGAATAAACTCTAGAGCCCTAATGTACAGCATAATGACTATAGTTAATAAAAATGTACCGTGCACTTGAATTTTGCTAAGAAAGTAGATATCAAGTGTTCTTACCTTGCACACACACAGAGTAACTGTGATATGTTAACTGGATTTGTTGTGTTAGTCATTCCATAATGTGTACATCTATTACAACATTTTGCTGTACAACCTAAATACATGTAATTTGTATTTGTTAATTCTCCCTCAGTTAAACTGGGAAAGAATAGCCTAAAAGTTAGAACTATAGCAACCTTGGTAAAAAGGCTGTGCTCAAAAGCTGATTATGTTGCACTCACCTTTGACATCGTTAGAATCTTGGGTACCAGCTCCATAGAGTAGAGGATTGTGGGTACAGTTATTCAGCAATAGTGTCCTAAAGACAGCAAATGGCAGAAAGAGGTTATACACTTATGGGTTTATAAATCACACAGCCTATAATTTAGAGGGATTTTTCACCCACCTTTTCATTTGGTTTCTTAAATTTTTGCTTCTTCTCTTCCTCTTTCCACACCTCCAACCATAACCCCACACTCCCATTAAATCAATCCGAGTTGAATTTTCTCACTGCCTTTAAGGGATTTGTTTGTTCTCCGGTTTGCCATAAAACAGTAAAATTTTCAACTTCTGTGCATGAAAAGCACAAACATTAAGTTCATAATTATTTCAACAGGATTTATGAGTGTTTCTCTGGGGAATTGCTTTCAAAATAGGATAAGTGCTATGCATGCAATAGGAATGATTACAGTAATTATGCTGGTTTCCAAATAAAACTTAAAAGTTAATGGCAGTGGGATAACTTGGCAACTCAGAGATGCTGTGTCTATCCTTTCAGACAGCTGGATCTCAGTTTCCCAGAATACAGATATGACATTCTTTTTAAGCAAGGCAGAGTATTTTGGGAATACCAAATGATTTTGTATGGAATGGACAAAGTTATCAGTTCATAAAGTGCAAGACATCATAGCAATTACTCAGTAAGCATGGAGACTATGTTATTAGATGCAGACAAGGTTAGGATTGTTATATCATCCTATTTGATTGACTCTGCTATTATTATGAGATATCCCTCCTTAATCCTAATGCAGTGTTTCTTGCCTTGTGACCATCCCATCGAAAGAAGTTTTGTTCCCCACTTCCCCACCTTCCACTTTACTTTTTAATACTTTATTTCTTAAAAGCAGTTTTAAGTTCACAGCAAAACAGAGAGGAAGGTACAGAGATTTCACATCTAGTCCCTCCCTCACATAAGCACATCCCTCATTTGTCGCAGTAAAAATGTTATGATTACTCCTGAGACCATGGGAGTAATTACATTTGGGTTCGCTCTTGGTGTTGACAGTCTATAGGCCTGGACACATATAATGGTATGTAACTTTCATTCTAGTAGAATATATTTTCACTGTCCAAAAAACTTCTGTGCTCCAGCTATTTGTCTCTCCCTCTCTCCACCAACCCCTGGAAATCACTACTATTTTTACTGTTATAGTTTTGCCTCTTCCAAAATGTCATCTTGTTGGAAGCAGGCTGTATGTTGTCTTCTCAGAGTGGCTTCTTTCGCTTAGTGATAAGCATTCAATGTCGTCCATGTCTTTTCATAGTCTGAAAGCTCATTTCTTTGTATCACTAAATAATATTCCATTGTATGTATGTGCCAAAGTTTATCCATTTACCTATTGAAAGACATCTTGGTTCCTTCCAAATTTGGGTAATTATGAATAAAACTGCCATAAATATCTGCTTATGAGTTTTCAACATAAGTTTTCAACTCTTTTGGCAAACTACCAAGGAATGCAAATGCCGGATTCTATGGTAACAGCAAAGTGTAGTTTGTAAGAAACTCTCGAACTGTCTTCGGTGACACTGTGCTATTTTGCGTTCCCTGGAGCACGAATGAGAACTCTTGTTCCATGTGATAATTAACTGCTGGGTCAGTTTGAATAAGAAACATACAACTAAGTGGATTACCACAGTTCTTTCCCTGGCTGAATGGATTTACTGAAGACAGAAGACCCACTGGGTGTAAGTAACACCAGCCAACAGGCTTGTGGCCTGAATGGAGTGAAAGAGGGAACAAAGACAGAAGGCTCCTTTCTGTTTCTTCAGAGGAGCTCCGGTCTTCACCTTCACCTGGGACGTTGTCTCCTGGCTTCCGGTGCAGATCCTTCAGCCTCCTGATATGGATTTGTAGTGGGCTCCCAGCCTTGGACCTTTGACTGGATCCTTCTGATCTCCAGCACACAGAAAGCCCTTTTGCACTTTTACATACGACTCTGTGCATAGCCACTGTAAGCCTCCCTTGTAAATCCTTATTGTTCATATACCTTTATTAAATGTGTTTTTCTGGTGAACACTGACTGATACAGTCCACATTCCTGCCATCACTTAGTGGTATCAGTGTCTGGATTTGGGTCATTCTAATAGGTGTCTAGTGGTATATTGTAGCTGTTTCATCTCCATTTCCCTGATGACTTACAATGCGGAACATCTTTCATATTCTTATTTACCATCTGCATTTTCTTTGATAAGGTGTCTTTTAGGGTCTTTGATCCATTTTTAAATCAGAGTGTTTATTTTTGAATTGTTGCATCTTAAGTGTTCTTCATATATTTTGGATAACAATTCAGTATCAGATATGTTTTTTGCAAATTTTTTTTCCTGTTTTTGGATTGCTGTTTCTTTCTTTTGACACTTTCTTTTTCACAGACATTTTTGATTTTAATGAAGTCTAGCTTATCAGTTACTGTCAGGTGTGTCATAGGACACCCTTGAGTTGGCATTTCTCTTGTGTTTTTCTCATGATTACATACATGCAAGTAATACGTTTTAGGCAGGTAGAGGTAAACTACCACTTTCACATTATTCCAGGGACACAGACTATCCTGCTGCTTATCTTGTCAATATTAACAATGGTTTGAGATACTGAAGGAGGGTTTGTTGGGTCTTCTCACAGTAAAGCTCCTCTTTTACCTTTCTGCATTCATTGGAGAAAACTCACTCTGCACAGCTCACACTTACGGAGTAGTGTAAGTTATTTCCCATCTCTTTGGTCATAAAGCAACTACATAAATACTTTGAAATTCTGTGTGGGAGATTTGTCCTTTCTCCCCCACTAATGTATTCATGCAATTATTTCTGTACTTATGCCGGTATGAATTCATGGAAATTTTATTTATATGTTGAATTATAATCCTTTTCTTTTTTCTTTCCCTTCCTTCCTTCCTTCCTCCTTCTTTCCCTCCTCCTGTCTTTCTCTCTCTTGTTTTCTTTCTTTCTTTTCTACTAAAATGTTTACACCTTTGAGTTCTTTTGGTTGTCCCCATCATTATGGTTTAATCTCTGCACTGATGCTTGTAAATTGTTCATGATAGTTATATTTATTTCTAATATGGAAATGACTTAGGAAATGACTGCTTCTCAGAGATATCTTCCAAGTGTAGCTGGCATTTGGATTTTGAGTCTGTTGCAAGATCCTACCTCTTCTATTTATTGGGGATGAGAAGTTGCTGCCTACTTGGCCTGGGCCCTGGTTCTTTGGCACTGGCCTATAGTATTATTTATGAGCCTCAGGCAATCTCAGTCTTGGCATACAATGAGGCAGCGCTGCTTAGAACAATTATGTCATCTTGACTAAAGTAGTACAATTTGTCATAATAATAGCATCAAACACACCCTTGAAAATGACAAATTGTGATAACTATTAATTTGTCACTTTTACCCATATGAACAATATTTGTAGTTATATAACAAAATCTAAAACAAACCAGAGAACTGTATACAGTAAATATTCCTTCAATATGGCAATTTTACTCTAAGGGGAGAAAATTTAAAAGGGGCTTGAGGGAAAAATAGAGAAACAGAGAAGAGAAAGGGATTAGAAGCAAGGCTGAAGGACAGTGGAAGATTAGGTAATCTTTGAGACCTGGTGAGAGAGGAGGGAAAGAAAAAAAGGAAAAAATAAAAATAACAATAGGACAAAACAACAACAAAACTAGAAACAATGCCTGCATGTGTAAAAATAAAAGAAATAATCAAGAAAAAATTTTAAAACTAAAATAAAAAGATAAAAAAGCAAAGGAAGGAAGAAAAGTAGAAAAAAAATGTCCACTTCAGGGCATGTCTCTGTTGTCACTGATAGACAAAGGGGGCAGACAGAGCCCAGGTCTGTGTTGATTGATCCCAACAAGCCAGCAGTAGAATTACGGTGGTAGGAGATAATCCCAGAAAACCCGGGCCTTTAGTTCCATTGAAGCTTAGGCTGTGTCTGGTTTCTGGCTGTGAGGCTGAGGCCCAAGTTGTTCAGCCTGCAGCACTCAGAGTGCTTCCAGTCAGCTTGAACTTGGCTCGCTGCTGGCTTGAACTCAGTTCCCTGATCTGCTGGCTTGAACTTGACTGTCTCACCCCAACACTAGAAGTCACTAGATGGAGCTAACCACAGCTGCTCTGAGTTCTGAGTTCAGCTGGCCCCTTCCCAAGATGACTACCCACCAATCATCCTCTCCAGGGGATGTCTGAACCTGAAAAACTCACTGAGTCATCCTCTGCTCCATTCCACTGGTGCCTTTCTCCATGGAGGACACTGGGTCGCCAGTAGTCACCATACACCTGTAGGTTCGAGCTGCCCCTCACACGGCATGAGCCAGGGCTCAGGGAGAAGTGCTGCTTGCCACCTCCCTTTTCTGCATTGTGGTCCCTCTCTTTACTCTCCCCACGAGCTCCAATTCTTGCTTCAGATCCTTCCTGGGTCCCAAGGACCCACTTCCCTCTTCACCCTCCTCCTCATGTTGCTCTATTCCAGAGTCTGGATTCCAAACACTGGAGAGGCTGTTTGCTGTCCACCATTCCACCATCTTTCCCTCATCATTTTGTTGTTTTACCTTTTGGCACTTTTACATTTTCTGGCACTGTAAGGTACTCCACATGTATCATTTATGTCTCCTGCCCTAGTCTGGGAATCAGTCATTTCTCTAAGGAGCATTGTTCCTTTCACTGAAGAAAAGATTCAGAAATCAAAATCAGGGACCAGCCGTGCTTTGTTACAAAGTATTGCTCCTGAGTCCCTTCATCTAGTGGTCCACACTAGGACCTAAGAATAATGACTTTCTTCTAAAGATCTTTGCAAGGAAATATGTATATGTGCACACTAACTTGTGTATAAATACTCTTAGAGGCCCGTTCTTTATACAATGATGATAATATACCCTTTTGTGTATTATGCAAAACCTGAGTCATACTGATGTATCCATTTCCAATCAATTACAACATGGGTCATTTTAGCCTCTCCCCGTTATCTTTCACCTACCATTCTAATTGCAAGAAACATGCTTCCTGCCATTTATCACCCATTTGGTTACTTGTCCAATTTCAGTATAATATATGCATATAGTGGTTTTAGAATCATTACCCAAACTACTATCGAAAGCGACTTTATCAACTACTGTACTGTGTTTATGTACAGTTCTTTCACCCCTTTGCTCTTATAAACTGTACTTATTTCCAAAGTTACTTAGCCTTTAGTCTCCCACTGCCTTCAGGGAAGTTGTTTCGTATGTCGATGAGATGTAGATTCATTTCCACAATCTGTATTCTATTCTTGGCTCTTCCAACTTCCTAAATATATATATATTTTCATACTGGGGATTGAACCCAGGGCCATCTCACTGATCCACATCCCCAGCACTTTTTTATTTTTTATTTTCACATTGAGTCTTGGGAAGTTGCCATATTGCCCTAGGCTAGACTCAAACTTACAGTTGTCCTGCCTCGGCCTCTCAGAGTCCTGGGATTGAAAGTGTGTCCCACCACACTTAGCTAATTTTTAAAAATTTGCATATACTCTTTGTATAACATTTGCATTCATCCTTTGTGGTATATAGGGCTGTGTGTTTTGACAAATACTTAATGTCTTAGATTCACCATTACAGTGTCATGCATAAGAGGTTCACGGACCTAAAACATTATATTTCACCTGCTCACCTCTCCCGCTTCATCTGGCAACTACTGTTTACTATTTTACTTTTACTTTTCCAAAAGTTATACATTCAAAATCATACAATATGTGGCTTTGTTCAGACAGGCTTCTTTAATTTAGGAATATAAATCTATGACTCATTCATGTCGTTTGTACCTTGATACCTCATTTCTTTCCATTATTAAATAATATTCCACTGTATGGACATACCCCATGTATCATTTATATCTCCATCTACCAATTGAAGGACATCTTGGTCCCTTCCAATTTTTCACAGTTATGAATAAAACTGCCATTAAATTAACCTCCATGTGCAGGTTTTTGTGTGTATATAAATTTTCAAATCAATTAAGTAAATGCCCAGGGGCATGATTTCTTTTTTATCTACTAATGCTATGTTTAGTTTTGTAAGAAACAACCACCCCTCTTTGTTTTCAACAACTCTTTCTGTGTTTCTGTTTTCTAGTAATTGTTCCCTTTATCAGACCATGCTTCCTGAAGGTGGAGATCATATATGTTTTGATAACTGATGTAGCCACAGCATCTGGGTTAAGAGCTTATACATAGAGGTCCTTAATAAATATTTGATGAGTGAATGAATAAATGAATGAATGAATGAATGAGTGAATAAAAATTCTTCAAGATTTAAAAATATATTCTTAAGGGGCTAGAGGCATAGCTCCGTGATAGAATAGTTCCTTAGGCATGAGGCCTTGAGTTCAATCTCCAGTGTACCCCCCTCCAAAATTATATATACATATCCCAAAGTGGAATGTTTGTCTTATTTTAACACTGACAGATAACTGGGATTGACAATGATGTTCCATAATAGTATAAATTCTGTATCACACTAATCTCCCTTCTCCCAGGGCAAGATACTTCTTTGCACACACCATGAACTTTACATATTTCCTAGTACTTAACCAAATGATTAAGACTTCCAAAACTAAAAAATTTAAATTTCAATGTAAAAAAAGACGTATACCAAGTTTCTTCTGTCTCATGGTAATATGGCTATTCACTGTGTGGAGTGGGTAAAAGGTGAATAAAAATATTTTTATAGACTTTAGCATTTTCCTGACATAATAAATTGTAAATATCAGTCATTGCATTTTTTATTTCAATAATCCTTTTTGGACCATTAATCAATTTTCTTAACATTATACATCTACACCTATAGAATCCTCACACTTGCTGGGCATGGCGGCACATGCCTAGGGGACTATTCTATCACTCATAGTTCTCTCATGCCTAGGGAACCATTCTATCACTGAGCTATGCCTCCAGCCCCTGAATAATATATTTTTAAATCTTGAAGCCTTTTTATTCATTCAATCCCAGCATTCAGGAGGCTGAGGCAGGAGGACTATTGGGAGTTCAAGACCAGCCTGGGCTACAAAGTGAGCTCAAGGCCAGCCTGAACTGCATAGCAAGACCCTGTCTCAAAAAGACAAAAAAAAAAAAAAAATCCTCACAATACATAACAGCATAAAAATGTCTTTCTATAGCCTTACCAAATTTGCATCAGTTTTTGCTTAGAATTTAAGAAGATGTTTGTACTTAGGGCTAAAATTAGCCAAGAAAGATTATTAAAACCAAATGCAAATATAGAATATAATCAGTATTTTCAAAATGAGTTTCATCTGTCCTTCATATTCATAACACTTGCTTTTTTTTGGCCTTTAATAGGACAGGCAGTTCTATTCTACATAAGCAGTTGCGCAAAGACTATATTTATACATCTGGGGTTCTCCAAACCATAACTTTCCAAGCTTGTGTCTCTTTGTGGTTTGCAGTGTCATAGGGTGCCTTGGTTTGAATGATTCATATAATGACCACACTCTGAATAGGAGAGAAATTCAAAGTCTTGTACATTTGCACCAAATGTCATTTGTCTGCATTTTTTTTCAGAGCTATTAAGTATCTTTTTTTCTCCTCTGGTGAATGGTTCTGGTTGGGTACTTGTTCTTGAACACAGTTTTCAAAGAAGAGCTCGGCAGGGCTTGAGGATTCATTCCCCTGTCTGACCAACAGTATCTCAAGGACCACAGAATTAGCAAAGGGACACCCAAAGCTAAGTGAAGCATCACCATACTCAGGAGTTGTTAAAGTACGCAGACTAGACTGTTGGAATTAACCAGAAAAGGCATGGGACTGCAAAGTATTTCTAAAATATTTTAGTTTTAAGCACTTTGTTTTGGTGATTTGAAAACAGCCTAGGAGGTAAAGTAATATTCATTAGGGAAGTACGTGGGGGGAACCTCCCAGCTGAAGGCTGAGCCTGTGAGCCAGTTGACTTGCTCATTAGTACTCCAAGGGACAGATTCCACGAGGCCTCACACTTTTCCACACCCCCACTGATACTTTCTGTCTTGTGATCCCAGAGTTCCTGGCAGCTCCCTAAGAGTACTGGGGGCTACGTGCTCCTTTGCCGTGGTCCATACTTTTTCTCTGGGGCAGGGTGCTTTTTAATTGCCCACCCTGGGGGAAATATACATTGCTTAGAACTTTCCAGAAATGCTACATTCCCTCCCTCACCACAGACACTATAAAATCCCCTTCCCTTGAGCTGATCACTTGTTTCTATAGTTGCAGTCATCTCATAAAACTAATGTTTTGACTGTGGATCTGTCACAGGCCTGGCGATGAGTAAGCACTCACAGAGCGTCCTTGGATGCCGCCTAAATCCGGATGGGGAGAACAGGAGGGTTGAGCCCACATTCTTCCTGCTCTGAGGGAACTTTTCAGCTCTTGAAAGCAGAAAAAACTATACAAGAAACAAGTGAAATTCTTGGGAGAACGCACTGAGAAAAGAACACAAAATGTCCACAATCTAGTCAGTCATGTTGCTACGCCTTCAGGAGCAGGTAGCTCTATGTCATTGCAGGAGTAGTAAATAGAGAATAGAATCATAATTTCAGCTGGTAACTGACATTTAGCTCTTCTTTCCACTGACATTTACACAGGAAAATGTACAGGGTTAACGTCTGTGAAGTCTCTTAAGCTCTACAATACCTCCTTCTCCTAATGGAACGCCTGTCTATTTATAGTGACATACCAGGTGCAAATGACAAAGAAATCTTACCGTTTACACCCAGGCTTATGCTGTCCTGCCGCCCCGAAAGAGAGTCGACTGCGGGCGAACTCATCCAGTTGTTTCTCTCGGTAACTGCCTGAGTAGGTTGTCATCGAAGAATCGGACCACCGTGTCTCATCCTGCCAAGATGCTCTGGCCTTGTGTCTGATCTGATCAAATTCTTGAGAAGTAAGAGGGCTGAAGGGGAGAAGAACTTGTGGAGTCAAGAACAAGAATTGTGACATAGCGCTGGATGGTAGGCTGTGAGGTACAAATTTTCAAACCCTCTGCATAATGAAGAACTCATTTCCTCCTATGAGCAGGAAGCCATCAGCAGGGCTCACCAAGCTTCGGAACTCTGACAGGTCAGAGTGCAGAAGCTTAATTCTCTCAGGTACCGTTGCCAAGCAACAGATCACAAAATTCCACAAATACTACCCTCCCCCCTCCACACACAAATGGTGAACAAGCATATTGGTAAGTGGAATAACTTCTGGTTGGTGCTCTATAGAATATACTGCTTTGTATTATGGTAAGAACGCATTTGGTAAAATTATTTGTCTACTACTGCTATCATAAGGAAATTAATGACTCAGTGATGGTGGTTCTAAGAAGTGGGAACAAGAGATTGAAGGACAGTGCCGAGCGTCTATTTCCCCTGAAGACCTGGTCTCCAAGTGTCGGGTAAAGAACACAGAGTGCTTGTGATGTCACCAGTAGCAGGTGATTCAACAGCTTCTCATGTCACAGAGCAGTGGTGCTCCTGCGGGCTGACGTCAGGGCCACCCTGGGAGCTGTGGAAATAAGTCTAAGCCCAGGACCCAGCGCCATAGTTTCCCATTTAACTGGCTGGTGGAGGGCGCAGACATGGGTATTTGCTCAAAGCTCAGGACTTTAGGAGTCTAAAGAGCAGCCAGGGTTAAGAATTAAGGCCATGAAAATGCCGCAGTGAACCTTTCTATGATTGATTTGATAGCCTTCAATGCTCTGTTCACGAGATCCCACACACACACAATAATAATAGTTACTCTAGATCTGGTAATGTGTTTGCTCTCTCACTTCTCTGGATTAGCAAAACAGTTCATTGGCAAATCAAAATTAAATTGCTTCTTGGACAATCATCCTTTCTCTTACCTCTTATCTCTTGGAGGAGTAGCCCTCTACCCTCAGTAGTCACTCATGGAACCTGGACACCCTTTCATAAACACAGACGTGAGGACCTCACCTAGAGGGATTGGTCAGCACCTCTCTGAGTGGAGCCAATGTTAGTGTTGAGCATAGGTGGCTGGCTCAGCATGATGGAGTGTGTTTGACATAAGGAGACACCGTCCCTACTTTCAGAGGTATACATTTGAAGCAAAAGTCCAGGAATCTGCATTTTCATATCGCTATTGATTCTGATGCAATCAATCTTTGAGTACAGAGGACACCGCTCTAGGGGCTTGATTTCAGGTTTTGCTTACTTTGTTTTTGGTGCTAGAGATGGAGCCCAGGGCCTCCGGGATTTTGGTTGAACGCTCAACCACTGCACTACATCCCCAGCCCTCTTTTAGTCTTAAGTCTTTTAGAGTGACGCTGATGCATTGCATGGTATGTTTCTCTGAGGATGAAATTATTTACACATACTTCTTATATACAGTCCTAGTTAATATTTCTTAAAGTGTTGAAATTTGGAGCATAAGCACCTTTGGCCTAGGGAAAAGATTAGACAGATATTTAAAGATTCAATTGCCTTTTCTCATGGAGTTGAAGGGTCCTATAGAAATTAAAATGAGATGAAAAGAAGATGGAGATTAGAAATGAAGGGGAAGAAAACAGTCATGCGCATAACTGTACTCCCAGCACTTTGGGAGGCTGAGGCAGGAAGATTGTAAGTTTGGCCCAGCCTGGGCATTGTAGCAACAGAAAGACCCTATCTCAGAAATTAAATAATAAATAAGGGCTGAGGATGCAACTCAGTGAATCACTGGATTTAATCCCAGTACCAAAAAGAAAGTGAAGGAGAAGAAAGAAAACTAGGCTGCCCAGCTGTCTTTTCCGCTAATGTCAGGGAGCAGCTGCCTATGTACTTGTACCCTTATCTATTCAATAAAAATGGTGGTCTTATGTAAAACACTGTTCCCAATAGCTACTGTTTTGAGACAAGAAAATAAATAGAACAAATGGTGAAAGGCTATTTGCAGAAAACACTTTTAAATTTTCTTCTCAAATCATGTGACAGGTCATAAAATGAGGAACAAACTAAGGTCTTTGAAAGATAAATTATAGTATAAGTGTGCCATTCCTGTCCTCTATAATACTTTGATTACTTTTTCCTCCCCAAATCAAGTGTGTTATCATTTAAACAACTGTAATCTCAAGAATCAAAAGTAGTGACAATGTTTCCTTTTGAGTTCAGCTCTAATTGTAGATTAGTCCGTCAGCCTATTAGGGAGCAAATCTGTTAGAAATCGGTCGGGCTTGCTGGAAGTGTGGCTCAGGGTAGAGGGCTTGGCTAGCAGGAGTGAGGCCTTGGGCTTGATCCCAATACTGAAAATAATGAGGGTATAGTGAGACACACTAACTTACCTTGGCATCACAAGTATCTATAAGAATTCCAAAGGCCTCAATTGCATCCTTTGTCCTTCTAGTTCTTGTGCATTTCACATCTCATGGACACTTCTATTCTCTGCTCATCTACAGTCTGACTTCCAGTGGTGGAGAATTTGCACTAAAAACTTCCTTTTTGTAACTAGATTCTAGTGCATTGTGCTTTTCACGTTCCAGGATGTTATATGGGGCCAAAATCTGATTAAGGGTCCTGGGACAACTCTGGATTGTGAGTGCAATTTAGTGAAAACACAGGCTAAATGACCCCATGCCAAATAAAACCAGCAGGGGGCGCGCAAACCATCGGCTGCGAGGGAGCCTTTGGTCACTGAAGACCAGGCTGGTCTAAACGTAGCTGATGATTCTAACGAGGTGCTAATACGATTAATGAAAAGGGTTTCACGGTTAGGTAAGTATAGAACAAACTGGGATAAACTTTTTTTCCTTTTGAATTTCCCAGAGCTTTCTTTCTACAGGGCTTAGACTATGCAGCATTTCCTAAACTTGGTCACAAAACTCCTTTCAGCGTGGGACGACTGTGGAGACTGCAATTATAAGGAACAGTCAGCTGCCGGAGAGGCTAGCCTTCTCTAAATCTAGGCAATAGCTGGCCTGCGGTCTCTACAATTTACTCTATCTCCAGCCTAACGCACTGACAGCCTGAGAATAGGATCAAGTAGTATTTTTTTTTTTAAATTGAGAGATAACATCAAACAGTCAAGCACACATAAATGTACTTTACATTATGTACACACCCATGTAGCTGCGATCCATAAGGCTCTTCCATGGTCTTTTCCAGTAAAATCACACACGCACACACACACCTTTCCTCCTGCATCACCAATACCACCACCACCACATAATACCTGTAACCACTATTTTAGCTGTTAGCTCTTACAGCTACTTCATAGCTTAGGTATGCCAGGCTACATGCTGTGAAGAAAGACATTGACTGATGCCTTTGGAAGATGAAACCTGGTAAGGTAAAGACCAGGGAACACGAAATTCCCTTGGAAAAAGACAGAGATTCCATCGCAGCCTGGATTTGTCCCTGCAAGTTGCCAAATTCTAGTATTCGGATGAAGATAGCCAACACCTGAATCCGCATATGTAATGTGTGCTAATTAATAACTGCTTGAGTTTTTCAATAATAATAATTCATAGTTCTTGATTTTGAAGTAATTTCTCCATACTTACTAACTGTGATTTGGAAATTTTTCATAATTTATCAAAGGCTGTGCGGTAGCTGGTCACAGGAAACAAGGAATTATTTGCAGCAAGAGTAGATGGAAATAAACGAAGTGTAAAGGGCACAGAACAGGAAAAGGAAATCGGTAAAACTAGTGAGAAGCCTAAAAGGAAAACTCTTTTTTCTTGGCTTTCCTGAAGTTTATTTTTGGTTATGTTTACTATTTGGAAACTGAAACTCATTATGAACAGTGTGTATATCATGATTCTGCTTTTGGTTAATAAGAAGTGTGTGTGTGTGTGTGTATCTATACTTAGGAGGCAGTTCCTGGAAGGCTAGATATAAAATGCTAATACTTATCACTGCTGAGTGGGAAGATAAATATGATTTTTATATTTTATGTTCTTTGCTTCGTCTTCTAACCTTTTCACGATGAATACATGGAATATGTTATCAGAGCCAAGATGTTATTTTACCAAAACTAGAACAAATGGAATGCATCTACATATAATTAATCAGTCAAATCTTGTCAAGAATGTCTTTAGGGTATGCATTTACTTTTTCATAGTGTAGGTTTTAAGAAAAAGAAAACATTTAAGCCAGAGAGATTAGAACCAGCTCAATCCAATACGATAGGGAGATAGGATGGAGGATGGAAGAGATATGAGCGTCCACTGAGGAAAAGATCTATGTGTATAAATGGATCTCAAAGTGAGGAAACGTGAGTGGCTGTCCCTTTCCAAAGGAAACCCTGTCTTCTCATAGCTACCCACAATTAAATACTCTGCAAACTGTGCCGCTTTCACAAACAAACAAAAATGCCTGTAATAGCTGAAACTTCAAAATGAGCCATAGTAGCACTCACCACATCATGAATTTCACAGTGGACCTTCTGGAATAAACAGAATGTAGTAATGGTGAATTTCTTCACTTTATTCCAGGAGGAGTGGGGGCAGTATATTTACAAGTAGATTTGGTTTATCTCCCCTATGCTATAAACGTAAGCCGTCATTATTCATTCTGCTTGGATCATAATTGCATTTTATAGCCAGGTGTGGTTGCTCATGCCTGTAAAACCAGTACTTGGGAAGCTGAGGCAGGTGGATCACCATGAGTTCAAGGCCAGCCTCCACTACATAGTGAGACCTGCCTCAAAAACAAACAAACAAGTCATCTTATACACAACACTGACTATTACAATAATCAAGTGTCATTCAGAAGGATATCTCAAAAGGTATTTCTAAGTTGTGTTCTTGCTATATATTGCAGCCAATGACTACATTGGAGAAAATGCCTTTTTTATTGCTCATGGCTAAGAGCTTTAGAATGCTTCTATAAGTTTCTGAATCTCTTTTATAGGAACCCAATATCCCAGACTTGTAAAATGTAGGTCTTTTAGGATATTCCAAGCCCAATACTGAGTTCAGTGCCAAGGTATTTGTACCAGTTGTGGAACAGCAAAAGAAGCAATGTACCTTGACAAGAGAGATACCAGGAATCTCATACATCCCTTTGGTGCATGAGTTTTCAAGATGTCAAGGGAAGGAGAACTGGGAAATGAAAGAATATGCAGTGTTCTTTTTGAGCATCGGGAGATGGGGGTAGTCTTTAAAAGGTTCCCTCTTTGAGTTAGTTTGACAGAAGGTTGATGATTTTTAGTTCCTAGGGCTACTGTATTAAAATACCATAATGCTGGCTTACAGTGTCTGAGAGTTCTGGGAGCTAAGAGTCTGAAATCAAGGTGTCACCGGGGCCACACTCTCTCTGTCACTTGTAGGAGAATCCTTTCTCACCTCTTCCTGCTGGCCAACAGCCTGGCACTCTGGCTTGCAGCCACATCCCTAGTCTCAATCTTTATCATCACACCACGGTTTCCCTCTGTGTC